CTGCCTCAGCCTCCCGAGTAGCTGGGACTACAAGCGCCCACCACAACACCTGGCTAATTTTTTGTATTTTTAGTAGAGACGAGGTTTCACCGTCTTAGCCAGGATGGTCTCGATCTCCTGACCTTGTGATCCACCCGCCTCAGCCTCCCAAGTTATTTCTTTTCTTCTACAAATTTTTGGTTTGGTTTGCTCTTTGTTTGCAGCTCTTTAAGATGTGTCATTAGATTGTTTATTTGAAGTTTTTACCTTTTTTGATGTAGGCACTTACAGCTATAAATGTCTTTCTTAGTACTGCTTTTGCTGTATCCCATAGGTTTTGGTATGTAGTGTTTACATTATCATTTGTTTCAAGAAATTTTTAAATTTCCTTCTTAGCTTCTTCTATGACCTATTAATCATTCAGGAGCAGATTGTTGAGTTTTCATGTACTTGTATCGTTCCCAAAATTCCTCTTGTGATTAATTTCTAGTTTTATTCCATTGTGGTCTGGAAAGATGCTTGACATTTCAATTTTTAAAAAAGTTTTTATGACCTAATATATGGTCTGTCCTTGAGAATGATCCATGGACTGAGGAAAAGAATGTGCATTCTCTAGTCATTGGATGAAATGTTCTGTGAATATCTGTTAGGTCCATTTGCTCTATAGTGCAGATAGTCTGTTTTTGTTGTTGTTGTTGTTGAGTTTCTGTCTGGAAGATCTGTCCAATACTGAATGTGGAGTGCTGAAATCTCCATCCATTATTGTATTGGGGCCTATCTCTCTCTTTAGCTCTAATGGTATCTGTTTTATATATCTGAGTGCTCCAGTGTTGGGTGCATATATATTTAAAATTGTTGTATGTTTTTGATGAATTGACCCCTTTATTATTATATAGTGACATTTGTGTCTCCTCTCAAAGTTTTTGTTTTGAAATCTATTTTTTGTTTACTCTTTAAAAATCTTTTATATTTAGTTCAGGCATACATATGGTGCAGGTTTGTTATACAAGTGAACTTGTGTCATGGGGGTTTGTTGTACAGATTATTTTGTCACCCAGGCATTAAGCCTGGTACTCATGAGCTATTTTTCCTGATCCTCTCCCTCCTCCCAACCTCCACTCTTTGGTAGACCCCGGTGTCTGTTGTTCTCCTGTGTGTGTCCATTTTTTCTCATTTTTAGCTCCCACTTATAAGTGAGAACATGCAGTATTTAGTTTTCTGTTCGTGCATTACTTTGCTAAGTATAATGACCTCCAGCTCTATCTATGTTCCAGCAATGGATATAATGTCATTTGTTTTCATGGCTGCATACTATTCCATGGTATATATGCACTACATTTTCTTTATCCAATCTACCATTGATGGGTTTTTAGGTTGAGTCCATGTCTTTGGCTGCAGTGAACATACACATATACACATGCATGTGTCTTTATGATAGGACAATTTATATTTCTTTGGCTATATACCCAGTAATGGGATTGCTGGATCAAATGGTAATTCTAGTTTTGGGTCTTTGGGGAATTGACACACTGTTTCTCATGATTGTTGAACTAATTTACATTTCCACCAACAATGAATAAGTGTTTCTTTCTCTCCACAACATCACCAGCATCTTTTTTTTTTTTTTTTTTTTTACTTTTTAATAATAGCCATTCTGACTCGTGTGAGATGATCGCTTCTTGTGTATTGAATTGCATTTCTCTAATGATCAGTGACATTGAGTTTTATTTCATATGCTTGTTGGCCACATGTATGTCTTCCTTTGAAAGTGTCTGTTCATATCCTTGGCCCACTTTTTAATGGTATTTGTTTTGTTTTGTTTTGTTTTTAGACAGAGTCTCAGCCTGTTGCCCAGGCTGGAGTGCAGTGGTATGATCTCCACTCACTGTAACCTCTGCCTCACGGGTTCAAGTGATTCTCCTGCCTCAGCCACCCTAGTAGCTGGGATTACAGGCGTGCACCACCACACCCAGCTAATTTTTATATTTTTGGTAGAGACGGGGTTTTGCCATATTGGCCAGCCTGTTCTTGAACTCCTGGCCTCAAGTGATCTGCCCGCCTCAGCCTCCCAAAGTGTTGGGATTACAGTGATGAGGCACCGTGCCTGGAGTGTCTTTTTTTTTTTTTTTTTTTTTTAATTTCTTTATGTTCCTTATAGATGCTTGAAACTAGACCTTAGATGCATAGTTTGCAAAAATATTCTCCCATTCTGTGTGTTGTGTGTTCACTCTGTGGATAGTTTCCTTGCTGTGCAGAAGCTCTGTAGTTTAATTAGATCCCATTTGTCAATTTTTGCTTTTGCTGGAATGGCTTTTGGCATCTTTGTTATGAAATCTTTGCCCATTCCTATGTCTAGAATGATGTTGCCTAGGTCGTCTTCCAGGATTTTTATAGTTTTAGGTTTTACACTTAAGTTCTTAATCCATCTTTAGTTAATTTTTGTATAAGTGATCCAGTTTCAATCTTTTGCATAAGCTAGCCAGTTATCCTGGCACCATTTATTGAATAGGGAATACTTTCTATATTGCTTGCTTTTGTTGAGTTTGTTGAAGATCAGATGGTAATAGGTGTGAGGTGTGCAGCATTATTTCCGGACTGTGTATTCTATTTGATTGGTTTATGTGACTGTTTTGGTACCAGTACAATGCTGTTTTGGTTACCGTGGCCTTGTATTATAGTTTGAAGTCAGGTAATATAATGCCTCTGGCTTCATTCTTTTTGCTTAGGATTGCGTTGGCTATTCGGGCTCTTTTTTGGTTCCATATGAATTTTGAAGTCTTTTTTTTTTTTTTTTTTTTTTTTTCCTAATTCCATGAAGAGTGTCATTGGTAGTTTAACAGGAATATCATTGAATCTATAAATTGCAGTTTGGCCATTTTGACAACAAAATGCTTCTTCCTGTTCATGAGCATGGAATGTTTTTCCATTTGTTTTTGTTATCTCTGATTTTTTTAAACAGTATTTTGTAGTTGTCATAGTAGAGACTTTTCTCCTCCCTAGTTAGCTGCATTCCTAGGTATTTTATTGTTTCTGTGGCAATTGTGAATGGGATTGTGTTCCTGATTTGACTCTGACTTTGAAGGTTGTTGGTGTATAGAAATGCTCCTGGTTTTTGTACATTAATTTTGTATCCTGAAACTTTCCTGAAGTTGTTTATAAGGACAAGGATCTTTTGGGCAGAGAGTCTGGGATTTTCTAGGTATAGAATCATACTGTTTGCAAACAGAGATTGTTTGACTTCTATGAAAAACATAGTGCAGTGAAAGCAAACCACTGTCAGCAATGGAATAGAACAATAAAAATGCCCAATAATAAATTTAATCTGAATGTTAAGAACTAATATGAAGCAAATAACACAATCATTGTGAGGGATACATAAAAAGACTTGAGGAAATGAGGAGTGGCTTTTTCTTCCATAGAGAAATTCTAAAATAGAAAGATAGTTTCCAGCTGCATCCATGTCCCTACAAAGGACACAAACTCATCCTTTTTTATGGCTGCATAGTATTCCATGGTGTATATGTGCCACATTTTCTTAATCCAATCTGTCACTGATGATCATTCTTAGCAAACTATCACAAGAACAGAAAACCAAACACCGCATGTCCTCACTCATAGGTGGGAACTGAATAATGAGATCACTTGGACTCAGGAAGGGGAACATCACACTCCGGGGCCTATCATGGGGAGGGGGTAGGGGGGAGGGATTGCATTGGGAGTTATACCTGATGTAAATGACGAGTTGATGGGTGCAGCACACCAACAAGGCACAAGTATACATATGTAACAAACCTGCACGTTATGCACATGTACCCTACAACTTAAAGTATAATAATAATAAATAAATTTTAAAAAAGTAAAAAATAAAATAAAATAAAATAAAATAGAAAGATAGATATTGTCCCTAAGTTAAGATGTAATTTAAAAATAACAACTAGTGTCTCAATAGGAATATTTTAGCACCTGATCAAATTATTCTGAAGTTCATCGACAAACGTGTCAGAATAGACAGAAAAGGAGAAAGCAATGAGGGAAGGCAAGCATTATTTCACATTTCAAATATAATTAAGCTACAGCAATTAAAATAGTATGGTAGTGGCACAGGTATAAACAACTCAGTGGAAGAAAATTAAAAGAAGAGAGTTACATACAAAATTGAGTGGGGATGTAGGTGATGATAAAAGAGCCAATTCAAAACAGTGGGTGAAACAGGGATTCAACAAATAACGTAGAGTCCCTACCACTTAATTTTGTTCAGATGGACCAATGATTTTTTTTTTTTTTGAGACGGAGTCTCACTCTGTTGCCCAGGCTGGAGTGCAGTGGCATGATCTGGGCTCACTGCAACTTCCGCCTCCCGGGTTCGAGCAATTCTCCAGCCTCAGACTCCCGAGTAGCTGGGACTACAGGCGCGTGCCAACACGCCTGGCTAATTTTTTGAATTTTTAGTAGAGATGGGGTTTCACCAAGTTAGCCAGGATGGTCTCGATCTCCTGACCTCGTGATCTGCCCACCTCGGTCTCCCAAAGTGCTGGTATTACAGGCGTGAGCCACCACGCCTGGCCGGGTTAATGATTTTGAACGTACAATCATGCAACGAAAACTATGGATGTCTTATCGTACTGGAGTGGGTAAGATCATTGCAAGCATGACAGCAAACTCGTGAAGGCGCAAGAAAATTATTTATGAAAGCAGATATAAAATGGGTATTGACATATTTAATATTTATTTATATGATGGTGAATTTATCTGAAACACATTGTTCCCTTAGAGTAACCTGGAGCTCATATTCTCCAACGCCATTGGAAGTGAAAGAAAGGTTGGGCAGGAGAAAAAGAAAAATGCTTTGTAAGTTCATTTTCGTTGTCAGGATAGCTTGTGGTTTAGGTTCTCCACAGAAGCAAGAAGACTTGAGTCACATAGCAAATGCCCCACCGAGTGCGCATGCTGCACAGACCTGTTGCTGCGCATGTTGTTGCGCATGCGCTTTTCTGCCCACCTTCTGCCCATCTTCTGTCCTCGCAGAGCTCTGCAGGGAGAAGTTGTGGCTTCATTCTTTCCGCCATCTTCATTCTTTCTCACTGACCGAGACTCAGCCGGTAGGTCCGCAGAACGGTCTTCCTGGGAATTCAGTTGTGAGTGAATGTGTGGAGGAACCAGCGTTAGGACAGGTCCCATAGCACGGTCTGTGGCTTTGAGGGAAAAGGGCCTTGTGGTCCGGCTTCTCCCAGGTCGCGATGCAGGCGCCATGGGCCAGTAATCGTGGCTGGGCTGGAACGAGGGAGGAAGGTGGGCCGCAGAGGGGAGGGATCACGTGAAGATGGGGCGAGTGCTGAGGGTGCTGTTAGAGGTGTCTTGAGTCCCGAAAACGCCTGAAACTCTCTGAGGGAGGACAGTTTCCAGACTCCTCATTAGGGAGGCAAGAAGGGACAGTGTGGTCGGTAAGGAAGGGGCCTGGGAACTGGGAATGCTGTGGGGTGGTGACTGCGGCCCCGAGGTCTGTAGAGTGCCTGGTAAAGGTGTCCCATGAGGAACATAACCTTCACTCTGTGTCGCAACTTCTCACCTCCGCCATGTACGTCATGGGAAGGAATGGGCGAGGCTGTGCGTTCCAACAAAACTTGATTTTTTGCGGGGTGGGGAGCAGGTGGTGGTGGCCCTAGTATATCAGTGGGACGAAAGCAGCAGTCACTTCAGTTTCAATTCTCTTCCCGTTTTTTCCCTAAATGTCTACATGATGGAGAGTCTAATTGTGAAGCCAACATTCAGAAAAGTCCTCTGTGTTTTACTATGGCGTTAAGGTGATTTCTATGCCTCTTCGGCTATGACACAAACAAAACTGTCCTTAGTTTGATTGGAAAGCGTGAATACTTACTGCTCTGTGACTTATTTTGACATTTTTTAACTTAAAAAAGTACAAATCACCGTTTTGCCATGGAATGTTCATATATATAGCTAAGTTCTTACACACTTTTTCCAAATAACAGTATTTTATTTTCAGTGGGAAATATGAGTGAGCATGTAAGAACAAGATCTCAATCCTCAGAAAGAGGAAATGACCGGGAGTCTTCCCAGCCAGTTGGACCTGTGATTGTGAGTCCTTTAACATTTGATGTTTTCTATTAACACAATTTATTTTTAAAAATATTTTTGAACGAGTGTACCTGCACTGACACAGGTGTTCCATGTTAATAAAAAAGTGATGATGGCATCTCACAAAGGCAACTTTGGTTCAGGAATATTATATTCTGGTGTTGCCTGTATGGATATGGACATTTTACTCTCTTTTTCTCTCTCTCTCTATATATGTTGGAAAATGTCTTTAGATTTATTATTTGATGCACATATGCATTTGTGTGTTTATATTGTTGACTTTTTATTTGCACACACACTTACACCCTTAGGTCCAGCAGCCCACTGAGGAAAAACGTCAAGAAGAGGAAGCACCAACTGAAAATCAGGGTATTGCACCTAGTGGGGAGATCGAAAATGAAGGAGCACCTGCTGTTCAAGGTGAAGGGAGAGTGGAGAATAATGCTTGTGGGTGGTGGAGGTATATTTATGCATTATATTTTATGACATACCAGTAACAGGAGGCCAGAAAACAATAGGAAGGAATCTTAAACATTTCCTGCTGCTGCTGTGGGGAGGGGTGGGACAAGGACATATAAAAAGCCACAAAACTTTCCTGCCATTTTGATGGAGACTTTTTATTGATTGGGTATTTGCTTGGTTGCTGTAAACCTTTGAGTGTTTTCCAGAGCTCCTGTATGATTTGTTCAGCCAGTTTGTGTTTTTTGTTTTGTTTTATGTTTCTGTGGAAAAATGGCAGCTTGCAGCTTCCTAGTCTGCCATCTGCTGACATCTCATGTATTTTTTTAAGATACTTTTAAACACATATTTATTAATGCTTCCTTATGCCACGTAATGCTAAGTGCTGGAGATGTCAGTGCCAAATTTTTGCCTAAAGCTCATAGTTTAGTTAGACTGACTCAAACAAGTCACTTACTGAATGTGATAAGAATAAGAACAAATGACTACAAAACCTACAAGTAAGTTGTCTAGGGCCAACCTTGGGAAAGGAAAGGGCAGTGTTTGAACATCTCTGCTTTCCTGTTTTTCTGGCGACAGACTCCTGAAATAATTAGCCTACAGGTTTTTATTTCACAATGATAAGGGAATAAATATTATTTCCTCATTCATAGTTCATATTTTAATTCGTAGATTGATGACCTTTTTATCTTTAAGGGCCTGATTTGGAAGCTTTTCAACAGGAATTTGCTCTGCTTAAGATAGAGGATGAGCCTGGAGGTGGTCCTGATGTCAGGGAGGGGACTCTGCCCACTCTTGGTCCCACTAAAGTGCTGGAAGCAGGTATGTTATTCAATAAGATGCATACTATGGGGCTTCTATTTTCATAATATTGTATTTTGTGTGACACAGAGACAAAATTACTGCTACTTCAATATCATACTTCACATCTAAAGATTCTTTGAAGGCAGTTCAGACCCCAAATGGCTGCCTTACACACTATCAGAGATAGAGGGCCAGGTTTGGTGGCTAATGCTTTCAATCCCCGCACTTTGGGAGGCCGAGGCAGAAAGATCACTTGGGGCCAGGACTTCAAGAGACAGAGAAAAATTGGGTCAAAGCTAATTGAATTATGATATTAAAGGTATGAAACATGCTAAGAGAGTAGATTTTGAGTGTCTTCACAGCTATGTGAAGTAATGCATATATTAATTAGCTTGATTGAGTCATTTTACAATGTGTATATATTTTAAAACATCATGTTGTATGTGATAAATATATATGATTTCATGTGTCATTTTTAAAAGAAAGATATGAAAAGGTTTTCTAACTTTTGAATGTAAGTCATTTAACCAACAGCCAATAATTTTCAGATGTTTTTACAGGCAATTGTTTTTAACAAATACGTAACATGTTTATAATAAGTATCAGTTTATATTGTAATGTTAATTGTGATGGTAATGGCTTAAAGCTAGTGTGGTGGTTTTCGGTTTACTGTATAAACTGAAATGCTTTTAAGCACGTTGAGAGGCAGGAGTACCCATGAAAATAGTGACAAATATTCACTACTTAAAGAACTACATAATGTCTAAACTAGTCCAAAGTAACATTTTTACACTTTTTCACAAGATGCACAAAAGTAATACTGACTTTTCTATTTCCTACACTTAGGCAGTTCTAAGCATATTCTATATTCGGTGTTATTTCATATCAAAATATTTAAATGATACTTTAAAATATATTTTTTTCTTAGGTTTCTGTTTGGTTGACTTTTTACTAAAAGTATAGGCATATTTTTGCTTTCCACTTACACATATAAAATAGATTCACTTGATTTAATTCATTCTGTACTCGAACAGTCTCTTTGTTTTCCTTATTCTACTAGAAAAAATGGCATGAATTAAAAATATTCTTAATATGCCTGGAAGTCTACCTTCAAAGTTTATTTAGAGGCTAGCTGGATGTAAGCTAAAGGGACACCTTCAGGGTTCTGATTTTAGTTAATCAACACTGTAGTTGTATAACTCTAGTGTCATCTAAATAAAAATCTGCTGAGTAACGTCCCCTAATTTTATATTTATATTATAGGTGAAGGGCAACTATAGGTTTAAACCAAGACAAATGAAGACTGAAACCAAGAATATTGTTCTTATGCTGGAAATTTGACTGCTAAACATTCTCTTAATAAAGTTTTACAGTTTTCTGCAAAGACTTCTTATACTTTTTTGTTAAATTTATTTCTAGATTTTTAATACTCTTGAGAATTGCATCTTTTATGAAAGTTTAAATCCTGTGTTTGAGATGGTATAAAGAGAGAACATGTTGATACATTGATTTTCTATCCTGCAACTTTTCTAACTATGCTTATTAATTCCAAAAGTTTACCTCTATATCCTTTTGGATTTTTAACATACACAACTGTATAATCTTTTAATAATAACAGGGTTTTTTTTGCCATTTTTAACATTATTCCTTTTATTTACTTTTCTCATTCATGGTAGTGGACAGAATTTCCCAGTATAATTTGAATGCAGTTGGTGGTTGTAGACATTCTTGTCTTGTTTCTGATCAGAAACACATCATTTTCCATATTTCACCATAATGGTTAGTGTACTTTTCTTATAGGTGCAGCTTATCAGAGTAAAGAAGTTCTATTCCTGGTTTACTAAGAGTAGTTATCTTCAGTATATGTCGAATTTTATCAAACACTTGTAGTGCATCTATTCAGATGATCATAGGTTTTTTTTTTTTTTTTTTGACAGAGTCTCACTCTGTCACCCAGGCTGTACTACAGTGGTACAATCTCAGCTCACTGCAACCTCTGCCTCCTGGGTTCAAGCAATTCTTCTGCCTCAGCCTCCCAAGTAACTGGGATTATAGGTGCCCGCCACTGCGCCCGGCTGATTTTTGTATTTTTAGTAGAGATGGGGTTTCACCATCTTGGCCAGGCTGGTCTTGAACTCTTGACCTCATGATCCATCCGCCTCGGCCTCCCAAAGTACTGGGATTACAGGCATGAGCCACGGGCGCCCAGCTGAATTTTTTCTTTATTAATTGGTTTATGTGGTGAATCACATTGATAAGTTTCTATATTAGATCTCTGAGCCCCCATTTTCATCTTAACAACCCAATAAAACAGTTCTTCAACAAAGGACTTCATTCAGAGTGCACAGTGCTTAGGGAATGGCAGGGGATTATATAGGTCAATTATTTCCTCCTCGACAGAGGTTTAAGTATATTTCTTTGATCCAAAAATATTTAAAATCTATGGTCCAAATAAAAAATGATCCTAAATTTAGAGGTATCGCAGTTTGCCACAAAATATGTGAGAGGTCCATAGGCTGCGGCAAAGATTCTTGAGTCATATCTATACTGTCTCTTTTTGGCCAAGGCGTGAAACAGCCGTGGGTTTCTGTCCTGGTTCTGAAACATCCTGGCTGGAAAACATACTTAATTTGGATCTGCTTCCATATTTCTAAAATAGAAATTGTAATGTGTATACTAAATTACTGCTATTATGAATAAGTGAGCAAACATATATGGCTAGATATTACAGTATAAATAGATTTGGTTCATTAGTTAGATTACATTTTTTCATTAAAATTTTCTTTTTTGCATTTTTTTTAACCTTTACAATTACACTTCTAGCAAACAATATTGCTTTTGAATTTCAAGTAGGGGATATTAAGTTAACTTTTTTGATGAATTTGAGTTCAACTGATTTGAATTATCATTTTCTTTTTTTCCTTATTGCCTTTTTCTTTTTTAAATTGAATATATTCATTGAATGATGTAGTTGGCATCAGACATGGCATCAATTCTAAAGTTGATTTGCAAGTTACCCATACCTGACAAAATCTGCCCCAAATATTGCTGTGTGCTGAAAACTCTGTCCCTTGAGATGTGTGATGCCAAGGAAAGTAAGTCAATATTCTGGTTATGCAACACCATACAACTCAGTACCAGAGTCTGTCAAGTGGTCAAGCTGTTCCTAAGCAGCACTGCAGTGTCAAACAGACTCAAGTATCACTACTGGTATTATTAGATTGGCTTGTCACACTTACACCGATTTAACTTGTAAGGTGACAATGAGCTTGATGGATCCAAACATTTTATTAACTTACAGAGAAAGAAAAAGCAAGATCAAATTGTGTTAGCTCCCTGTGTCCCTAGTGCTACAGCATGACACTGAATCAGACGTGCTCAGTGACAGAGAGCCTAGGTGGTAGGTCTCTCTGCTGCTGATGAGCCCATAGCCATACCCTATGATAGTAGGCAGTTTTGTAGCCCACAACTGTACCCAAATTTGGGGCAAGAAGGAACATCCTGTGCCCAACTGAAACTAGGGAGATGGAAGTGTAATGGCCTTGTGTCAGGCTCCCGCAATATAGGGAGGTAGGTGAGAAACTGCCTAATTGCAGCCACTTACTGTGCTGCTTTGCTTTCCTTGTGCCAAGAGGAACCACTGGGTGTTCTGCCAAGACTCAGCTCAGACTGCAGTTAAGCTTGTATACCAGGGCCTATGTGGCAAGATGCAGAGTTTCCAGGGCACCATAACAGAGTCGTTCCCCTACAGGGTTTGGCACAAAACAAAAGGCTGTATGTGTGGGACCTTCAAACATAACATCCACAATAATGACTCCAAAGTGAGGGAGATGCTTTCCATTGCTAGGGTCATTATGATAGACATGCACTAATGCCTGCCATATTAAGGAAGTATTTGGGATGCTGGAATTGAAAAGTACTTGCCATGAGGGATACCACACTCTAGTTGGAGAAAGTCACATAAATAGAAAAGCAGTTGAAGAGCAAGAGGAACACAGGCAAGGGGTCCATCAAACAACAACAAAACAATGAATACCGTAGCCTAGAATCAAGAGTCAAAGGGAAAAGAGTGAGTGTGAGAGTAAAATCACTAGATTGGACTTCCCATATCCATTGATTACTGGGTTTACATTCTTGATTATTTTTGCCATAAGGTTGAGTGACATTTATGCCTTACACTTATAAATACTAAAATAACCAGATAGGCAGTCTTGATTCAAAAAATATTCACTGATAGACTGATCTGTTTTTCAGCCCCTTTGTATATGGGAAGATCAGTGAATTGGCCAATACAGCCCTTAACTGAGGGAAAATCTGACCAGGATGTCCAAGATTTGTTATGAATATAAAAGTAGGAAATGCGACAGTACTAGCCACTTTCAGACAAAGTGTGGGATGAAGGCCACAAAACCCTGTGTAAGAGAACAGAAGTTTGGAAAGATAGTTCCTGTGATTTGTCATTTGCAATGTATTATTCACAGTAAGCAAATTGCTGGTTTAATAATGGCATATTTGGTTAAGTGAGTAGCATATATTACAAACATGCAGACAAACCAAAACTTGTCTGATAACCTGGGAATCAGGCTCTGGGCATTGGTCTAGAAAGATGCTAAGGACATAGGAATGTTTCATGCAGGATAAGAGTTCTTAGAGCTCAGAGTCTAATGAATAGACAGTCATTCAGAAGATTGTGACAATACAAATGTAAAACAAGCAATGACAAGGATGAGCCAGGGGATGCTCAGAACACAGAAGCAGGCCGTGTAAACCCGAGTGGTTGGGAGGAGCTTCTGCCAGGGGATGATGTGTATGCTCTAGGTAGTTTCACTGTAAATAACTTTTAATCTCTGTTTGTTATTCCCTTTTTCATAAAAAATATAAATCTCTCCACTTAATCATCTCTATTTTATAGATGAAGTAACTGACGATCAGAGAAGGTAAGTATCTTATTCAAGTTCAAATCTTTAGCCAGTGGAACAGCCAGTTTTCAGTCCTTTCAGTTCATGTGCACCTTTTATTATATTAGGTTGGTGCAAAAGTAATTGCAGTTTTTGCTATTAAAAGTAATGAAAAATAATGGCAAAAACTGCAGTTACTTTTGCACCAATCTAAATAATCTTTTTGTTCTTAATAGTGTTTTATGTTTTAATTAACATTCACATGCTATGTATAGTTTGCTTTGCTTGTCCCATAAATTATTTTTCTTGAATTCGTTTGCAGTTGTAGAACTTTATTGCCAAGCAGGTGAAATATTTTTCAAAGTGGACTGTGCCACTTTGCATTCCCACTAGCAGTAAATGAGGGCTATAGTTGTTCCATGCCATCATGAACACTTGGTATAGTCAATTGTTTGAATTCTGGTCATTCTAATAGTTGTGTAGTGGTATATACTCCTGCTTTTAATTTGCATTGTAATATGTTGAACACATTTTCAGGTGTTCATTTGTCATACATATGTATTCTCTGCTCAAATGCATTGGACATATTTTATTGGGTTGGATGTCTTGTGTGTGTGTGTGTGAGAGAGAGAGAGAGAGAGAGAGAAAGAGAGAGAGAGAGTGTGTGTGTGTTTTAAGGGTTTACTATTTATATTTATTCTTGGTATTACGAAAGTGTACAGTGAAACACCTTTGTCTGAGACTCTTCACTTGTGCTGGATAATCATGCCTTTCTTTGCTTAGGGGCATTTCTTTGCTTTTTAAAAAATTTTTGAGATGGAGTCTCTCTCTGTGGCCCAGGCTGGAGTGCAGTGGCATGATCTCGACTCACTGCAACTTCTGCCTCCTGGGTTCAAGCAATTCTCTGCCTCAGTCTCCCGAGTAGCTGGGATTATAGGCACCCACCACCATACCCGGCTAATTTTTGTATTTTTAGTAGAGACAGGGTTTCACCATCTTGGCCAGGCTGTCTCGAACTCCTGACCTCATGATCCACCCGCCTCGGCCTCCGAAAGTGCTGGGATTACAGGCATGAGCCACCGCACCCGGCCTTCTTTGCATTATTTCTCTGATAATTTCTTTTGCCTCTTTCTCTTTTCTCAGTATCCAGAGATTTTCTTAATCTAAATCTATATCACCTTTATTAAAACTTTTAAAATTGTTTCACTCCTGTCTTTCATTGAATGCTTTTTTATTTGCTACCTAATTTCTAAGAGACTTTAAAACTACTTTTTCTTAATTGATAACTGAAATATAAGTATACAGCTTAACCAATTGAGCTCTCCTGTTGATACTAAAGTGAAGGCAACTTCCTAAAACATATTGGATACTCATTTTTTTCCTCTACTGCGGAAGGATGTACACAGCACTGGAGTTGTAGGAGTTGTATGTTGCCCATAGACTTGCAAGCACTGCTACCCCCCACCCCCGCCGCCACCAACTTTG